TACCATACCATGAAGTCTACAAATCCGCAGAAACCACCTATTATTTGTGAGTGTATATGGATGTTGCTCACGTATTTGCATGTTATGTATTTCTTTGTGTGTTTTGCTTTTGGAGATTAGACACAAAGAAAAGAAGCAAGCAAAATGTTTTTTAAAACATGGAGAGTGCATGTAGAAATCTGGATATCTGACTTAATTTGAAATATTGAAAGATCTGGCAACACAAGTCTCCTTTGGCCACTCTGAAGATGAGAATTCTTTAAATAGAATGGGTGATCCAGGTCAACAGTCTCTGCAAGAATCTCCTGTAGTTCCCTCTGCACAGAGAGGCTGAAAGTTCCAAAAAGAGAAGGTACAAAATGGATGACTAGAGATCATTTTTAAATGCAGTAGTTCTAGCTTCAGTGAACCTTGCTGTAAATATTAAGATAAAAAACCCCTAATTCCCGACATCCTAACTATTACTACGTGGTTTGTAATTTACATCATTACCATCTCTTGAACTTGGTGTCCTCAATTAATTAAAGGTAGTATTTTGTTCTTCTGCAATGTAGTAAACTGTATATAATAACCCTTTATGTATATCTGCCAGTGAGGGGCAAGGGAGGGGACACAATCTCTTCATAAAGAGGCAGGAGATGAGAGCTTCAAAATAAGTTCCATCTCTAGCTGTCAGATCTGAGCAAATCACTTAACACCAACCTATTTCCCAACCAGTTAAATAGAAATAATAAAGGAGACTTCATTTACCGTCAGGGATGTCTTTGGTCTTAAAAAAAAAAACAAAAAAAAACCAGACAGATGGAATGCACATATTTGGGGGGAGGAGGGTGGGAACAGGGAATCTTAAAAGGGTGCCTCAGATTTTGCTAGGTTTAGTCATGCTACTTGGATTTAATAGCAGAATCAACACTAAGAATCTTTATGCGCATCTTGATATGTCAAACCTGAGTTCAGCGAAACACTCAGACTTATCAGATTGCACCTTGACTCAGGTGCAGAGGTACCGAATGCTAGACAAGATCAAAGAGGCATTTTCTCTTTTTTAGGCATAATGCCATGTAGTTGACTAGACTCCTTCCCACCCAGTCCCACCATAGTTTGTTTGTTTTTGCCATTACTCTTTATCTTCCCAGTCTTACAGAAACGTGTCAACATTCTAAGGCTAATGTACATGAGCTCATTCTCTAGATCTATCTCAGGGGAGAAATGCACACATATGAACATTAAAGGATTTTTTTTAAAAAGATTTATTTATTTATTTATTTATTTATTTATTTATTTATTTATTTATTTATACAAGCACTGGGTACAGTCAGAAGCGCGGGAGGGTGAGAGAATTCACCAGAGCCAGAGCGGAGAGTAGAACAGGCAGAGTGACGAAGTACACTGCTGAGGGGAGCAGCAGGCGGCAGGAGAGGTCTGCGTGCCATGTGGGACCCTCACCCGGCGGCCGGGGATTGAACCGGTGCTGCAGAGGCTGTGGGCAGCTTTGCAACCCAGCACTCAACCGCTGTGCCACCGGGGAGGCCCTAAAGGATATTTTTTGATGAGTGGATTCCTTCTGAAATAAACCTGGTAAAAATAAGACAATAGAATTCTATTACCCCCAAGCCTAGGCCTTATGTATCTTTACTTGATAGCACCACAGGCTCTTTGGCTCTCTAGAATATTCAGTATTGAAATAGAATTCAAAAATCAGTATTTAAATAAAAGACAAATAACTGCCCTGGTGGCGCAGGCAGTTGAGCACCGCACTGTGAAGCTGTCCACAGCCTCTGCAGCACGGGTTCGATCCTGGCCGGCCGGCAAGAATCCCACATGGTGAAGCAGACCTCTCCTGTCTTGCCTGCTGCTCCCCTCAGCAGTGTATTTCATCAATCTGCCTGTTCTATTCCCTGCTCTGTCTCTGGTGAATCCTCTCACCCTCCTGAGCATCTGACCTGTACCCCAGTTCTTGTGTAAAAATAAATAAATCAAGAAAGAAAGAAAGAAAGAAAGAAAGAAAGAAAGAAAGAAAGAAAGAAAGAAAGAAAGAAAGAAAGAAAGAAAGAAAGAAAGAAAGAAAGAAAGAAAGAAAGAAAGAAAGAAAGAAAGAAAGACAAAAATCAAACTTGAGAAAGCAAATATTTTCTTTCTAGAGGTAGATTTTTATCTGATATTAATTTAATGAGGATGGAGTGGATTCAGGATGGCCCCAAACTCTTTGCTCTTCCTTCTTTTGAAAGGTAAGGCATATTCTGCTCCACCTTTCAACTTGGACTATTCAGTGAATGGTTTGGACTAACAGAATGAGGGGTGACTAGTAGGATGGGCTTTGAGTATACAGAAGTGAAGCCATGCAACTCACACAGTCAAGACATAAATAATCAGAAATGCCTACTCTAATCCTTCTTGGATACTCCCTCTTAAAACACATCACCATGTTGTAAAGAAGCCCAAGTAGGGCCTCCCCGGTGGCGCAGCGGTTGAGCACTGGGTTGAGAAGCTGCCCGCGGCCTCTGCAGCGCGGGTTCGATCCCCGGCTGCTCCCCAGCCACCAGAGGAGGGTCCCGCATGGCGCGCAGACCTCTCCTGCCGCCCGCTGCTCCCCTCAGCAGTGTACTTCGGTCCTTCTGACTGCTCTGCTCCCCGCTCTGGCTCTGGTGAATTCTCTCACCCTCCCGTGCTTCTGACTGTACCCAGTGCATGTTATAAACAAACAAATAAATAAATAAAAATAAAACATGCCTCTATTAAAAAAAAAAAAAGAAGCCCAAGTAGACACATAGGGAAGGGCAAATGAAGAACAGCAGAGGATCATACAGAATTCACAACTAATATCCAGCAACACCTGCTAAAGCAGCAAAGGCAGACATTTTTGGATCCTCCCAGCATTCCTTGCACCCAATTAACACCATGTGAAACAGATGATGTGCCCAGTTGAATTCTCCACTAAATTTAGGAGCAGTTTGTCATACAGCAAAAGAAAATGGAAGCAATACTCAAAACATTTTGTTGAGAATGGTGGGAAATCAGTTGCCAGTAGCTTGTTCTCATTTGTCTAAGTGTTGGTAGTGATTAAGGTTTGTGTTTCCTCCTATTGTATGGCCATGAAGGGGATGATCCTATATGTTTCAAGTGTCAGAAATCAACATTACTGATCTAAGAAATTCTTGAGTTATGAAGAGTATTTGCTTTCATATGCTCCTTCTCTGAAAAGGCAGTCTTTGTTTCTCCTGTGAACTGGTGTTAGAGGAAAGGGTGTGAGTGGGGGGCAGTTGGGAGCATGGGCAACTTACTCTTGTCCATGGTCCTCTTGGGTTCCACCTGCAATAGCATAACTGAGACAAGCAAATTCAGAGATGAGCAGTTTGTTTTCCTATATATTCTTTTGGCAGAACTTAATGAAACAAAGAGCCTTGTTAGTAGTTCCTGCAAGGGATTCAATGTCCAACAAAGGTGGACAACAGCTCTATGAAATCACACAGTTTTTACTTCCAGCCAGTAAATGACTCATATAATTATCTTTGCTTTTATATGAACATTTCAATTGAGAAGAAAACACACAGGGGGTACATGCAGAAATTCAGGATGTAACTTTTATTTTAAACATAGTATTTCCAGGCTACATTACGGCATCTGTGTTCACCAACTCAAAGCTGATCTTGGCAGTGAACACAAATGCATTCATATAATCAGCCTGTTCACATAACCACCAGCATGAACAGACTGATTTAAAAGCAGGGTTTTCAGTTAATGGGTTGACAACTTCACCGTTGTGGAAACTGGCTTTGAAAATACTTAGCTTCCTACCATTGCAAACTACCTCACTCTGTAAAACCCTGAGAGTGACAATACTTTTAAAGAATGTTTCAGCTATTAATGATGCTTTGTAAACAATGGGAGGTGGAATCATTTTATAAACCAGACGGCTGAGGCTCAAACAGACACTTGACAAAATGAGTTGCTGAGAGCTGCCAGGGCAAACACGGGCTTATGTATAACACTTCAGATTTTTCTATTCTATTAGATCTCAAAAATTGTTCCCCCCTCTATCATTTCTAACTCAAAATTGTGCAATTATTGGTTGATGACTATGAATAACTTTATGATTATTTCCTCTTCCTACCAAGTAATAAGCCATTTTCCCCTCTCCACCCCAGGGACTGAAATTCTCTAACTTTCATCATCAACAAAACTGGAGTTAAAATCAAGGGTATAATTAGTCTTGAGTAATGCTTTAATTATAAAGTAAAATATGACATCCAACAAGAGAATGAAAAGCTTAGGCTACTTTTTACTTTCTTATGTTTTTAATTTGTGAATAATGAATTAAATAAAAACCTCATTCAAATCCACACAGCATTTAATTGTTCAGCTTAAGAAGGCTTTAGCTTAAGCATTTGTAATACCACATAACTTTTCTGAGCAGTTACTATGCGCCGATTGCTTTATGTGCTTTTTTTCCTTCTCATTAATTCCTAATAAGAACCCTCTTGCTTAGAAATTATATTTGTCTTTTCTTATAATTGGGGAAACAGAAGCATATTAAGAGCAAGTAACATGGATAAATTCTGTCAGTTAAAGGTAGAATTGAGGCTTGAACCAGGGCTTCACTGAACCTCACAATGTGCTGCCCTAAATCTAATATTCTTTTGCCTTCTTCTTCTTGGTGCTGATTCTGAAAAATACCCAACTTATCCAGGTTCAGTCAGTAAATGAGAACATTATTATTTTCTACCTCAGTTTAGTTTTAAAAAAGGGTCACTGATTGCTTGGGAAAAGTTGGTCATCGGTGATTCTAATGAGGATCCTAAGTCAGTGAGTGGATATTATGACCAGAGATAGTCAATGATGAAAGTACAATTTAAATAGCTGTTGGGGGGTAGGGGGCGGGAGGGGAGGGATTGGGGTCAAAATAAGGGGGTTGCAATTGTATGGGGAATATAAAAATAAAATTTATCATAAAATAAATAAATAAATAAATAAATAGCTGTTGCAACAATGGAGAGATTATGAGTTCTGCTGTATTTTCTGTCATTTCATGGATTCTTGTGGAAATACCACGTGGTGCAAGAGTTGAAGTTGCTGCTGAAATCCCCAAAGACACTACTCCAGGCCCTGTACTTCCAAAGGCCACCATGCAACTCCAGGGAACTGTGGGTCCTTGTTCTTCCAGAGGCTGAGAGCCACGTTTATGTGTGATTTCATTATTACAGGCGTGGGTGTCTTCATGATGTTGGGGATAATCTGAGGAAATTCATTCAGGCAAGTTAGGAATGCTGGCATCTGTGTGCACTTGAAAGAAAGAAATTAGAGCAGTTTTGTGAAATCTGACTATCCTGGTGATCTTTCACTTCTCTTTCTGTATGCGTGTGTATGTGTGTGTGTGTGTGTGTGTGTGTGTGTGTGAGCCTCTAAAGTGGAATTTTCTGTCCTTATTTGCCCCTTAATCGCATCTCATCAGCAAAATGAGCTCCTGTTCATCAGCCTCTTCTTATTGTCATTGCCTAGAAGTAGAGAATCCAGCTGGTAATTTCTAGCACTCACTGTTTATAACCAAACTTGTATTGCTCTTTGATGAGAGACAAAAAGAAAAAAGGAATGGCATGTGGGAAATCAGTAACTGAAAAACAAGAGACTACAGCGTAGTTCTTAATAAGTGGTCAAGGTAAAAAGCTCTCAGAGTATTTGGTTAAAGATACATAATTGTGTTTTTATTCTTCTGTTCTGCACATGAATATGATTTTATTCCTATTCCTCTTTCTTAGTCCCAAGATTATAAGGCTCTAGCCTGCTATTCTATTATCTAAACATTACCAAACATTTTTTTTTTCTGGATTTAACCCCATCCTCATTCCAAATACATAAATGAACTTGTGCCACTGAGAATCAGTTTTGGCCAAAGGGTTTTATTTGGGACAATCAGCAACTTTGAATTCCCTGATGCTATGTTTGCTGTTATTTTAGATTAATTTCAATATTTCAATTACCTGGATACTTGGTTACTCCACATTCAAGGTGCTGGTTTAAATACTCAAGGTCTAAAATGCCCACATAGGGAGGGCATATTTGCTTAGTCTTCTGAATCACATGCTAACCACATTCAGGAACATCTTCACTGAAGTGGTGACCAGTAACACCAGAAGTGAAGGAAAGAAAAATAGAACTTGACACAATACCTGACACAAAATGAGAACCCCAAAAGTGAGTGTAGAGAAAAGATGAATTCATAAATGAACAAATAGAAAACTGTTCTTGTATTCCTCTTAAAGGATAAAGGAATGAAAGGCAGAAGAATAGAAATTGATTTTTTTGCAAATTTTAGCTCTGGAGGAACAGCTTGATAGAGGTGGGAAATGTTGACAAGATGAAGCATAACAGGCATTTCTTACCCCCTTATAATTAGACCAGTATGACTCCTTAATATTCCAGAATATAGACTCTCTAATAATTCTAATAATGATACTGATCATTTAATAATTGTAAATGAGTCTTCCCAATCTCTACATTATATTTATAGTGTGTATAATATACACATGTGTATATTATGTGTATAATTATACACATGTATACACACACATGTGTGTGTCTGTGTGTGTGTAATCTCCAATTTACAATGGGGTGATTTCCTGATAATTTCATCATAAAGTCAAGAGTAGCATAATAACCACTGATGCACAGGTGACACAGGGCTCCCACTTCTGGTCTCAAGTCCAGAAATGATGGATTTCTGTATCTTGCATCCTCATTTTCTTTCTCTAAGTCCACAGCCCCTCCCAAAGCCGTCAAAGTTTTGAAGGCCAAGAAAACAATACTAAAATATGTCCACAGCCACAAGCAAAAAGAGATCCACACTCCACCCAGCTTTGAAGGTCTTAGGCACTGAGACTCCAAATGTCCCCAGAAGAACACCCCTTGGGAAACAAGCTTGACCATTATGCCATCATCAAGTTCCCATGGAGACAGTGATGAGAAAGATAGAAGACAACACATTCTTGTATTCATGGTGGATGTCAAAGCCCACAAGCACCAGATCAAAAACTCTGTGACATTGAAGTAACCAAGGTCAACACCCTTATCAGACCTGATGAGGAGAAGAAGGCATATGTTCGACTAGCTCCTGACCATGAGGCTTTGGGTGTTGCCAATAAAATTGCGATTGTCTAAACTGAGCCCAGATGGCTAATTCTAAATATAAGTGTTTTAAACCATGTATTGGTTGTTTAGCCTTGCTGCCACTACTACCCAATGTAACAGAGTATTGTGTCACAAATTGCTGACCCAGGAAAAGATCAAAATTGAATATTTGAAGTATGGTGTCTACAGCTTTCATACGATCTTAAAATTGTAAGTCAAACCATCACTGTCAGAACTGTCTGCATATCTTATTGTTTGTCTTTCTCTGGAGCACTCTGACTGAGTGCCAGTTAGTAGTATTAACTCAGTATCTTTCGTAACAACTTAAGCAGGTGGTTATAACATTATTCCCATTCTATTGATGAAGAAACTGAGGCACAGAATATTAAGGAACTTGTCCAAGGTCATATAGTAAGTGAGTGGTTGACACAAGCCCAGGCAGTGCATCCTGAGAAACCTTTCTCTCATGGACCTAATAATGTTGTCCTCAGCAGCTTCCAACTCCAGCTATTTGCTGCTGTTATTGAGACAGCTCCCATCTAATTTCCAGTTCCATCTGCTGGTAAGTCCTTGCCTTTACATATTTGGTTTTTTAGTCCTTCTCCTTCCTATCTTTGTTTCTATGATATATTCCTTTATTATTTTATTTAAAATTTAAATCTCTAACTTCCCCTCCACCTAGTAGGAGTCTGTAAACCCCACTCTCTGCTGATGTATATTTATCCAATATCACTTGTCACCTCAGAAATTGTATATTTTTAAATATTTATTTATTTTGTAAACAAACTAGGGTATAGGCCAGAGGTGTGGGGGGTGAGAGGATTCACCAGAGATAGAGTGGGTAGCAGAACAGGCAGATCTACTGAAATACACTGCTGAGGGGAGCAGTGGGTGAGCCAGGAGAGGTCTGCTGCGCCATGTGGGTCTCCTCCTTGGCCGAGATTGAACTCAGGCAGTGACAGTAATGGCGCTGACACTTAACTCCTACGCCACCAAAAAGGCCCCAGAAATTGTAATTACTTTTAAATTAGTCTGTCCTTTGCCTGTTTCCCATTAATTAGAATTCAGTTTTATGTTTATGTGTGTGTGTGTGCGCACATGTGCACATCCGCATATATATGTATGGAGATATACATACATACATATTCAAAACTCTCATTCCAAAATTGACTTGTCTTTTTTAATAAACCATCCTAGTACCTTCCTGATAAGAAAAATTATTTTAAAGTAAGATATTTGAGGGTGGGTACATTTTATTTTTCAATGTTTTTCCATCTTAACAAATTTGCTAAACCCTGTCAACAATCCACGAACTTGGAAAAGATCCCCAAGTCTCAGATGAGAGCATGGCTTGAGCTAGCACCTTGATTGCAGTCGTATGAAAATTTAATATCAACCTCTTTTAGATGTTAAAGGACTCACCTCCAATATTTCAGTGTGACCATGTTTATTGGGAGATAGGCCTTTAAAGACATAAGTTAGGAGGAGGCTGCAAGGGTGGGTCATAATCAATATAACTGGTGTCCTAAAAAAAAATGGACTTTGGACTGAGGGGGAGGGATATTCCCAGAGAAAAAACGATGCCTGGACACTGAAAAGGTGGCCATCTGTAAGACAAGGAGAGAGGCCACAGAAGAACCAAAGCTTTCAACATCTCAATCATGCCCTTCTCCTTACAGAACTGTAAACACATGCATTTCTTTGTTTTAACACTCCTAGTCCATGATTTTTTTGTTTTAACAGCAAAGAGAGAACCCAGGTGAGATCTTCCCAGACTTTTAACCTACAGGCATTATGAAATCATTAAAAAGTGTTGTTTGAAGCCACTTAGTTGATGATAAAGTATTGTGCAGCATTAGAAAATGAATATAACCTTTAAGTACAACCATGCCCTCTTGGGGCTTACAGTTTAGTAGAGCATAGTAAGTAAATAGACAATTATTAATGTTAACCCCCAGGACACAGATGAGCAGATGAAATTTGGCTGACACATGTAATAAGGTAGAATTGAAATTTGGACCTTATTCTAATTATAGTCTCTCCTCCTACCCCTCCTTCTCTCTCTCTCCTTATGTATAACTGTGTAAGAGAATAAAGAGGTTAAATTGCTATATAGGTATATATAGGTATGTATATCTATAGGCCAATATGTCTACAACAGACACACAATGGATAGATACATAATAATTTCTCCATTTGTAATATTAGACTTTAGAAGTCTGTTTCAGCTCTAAAACTCTACCTTTGCTGTTTTGTCATATTTTTTTTTTTTTTTAGTGGGGCGGCATTCTGTTAAACTCTTAACCATCATTCAGGATAATAGTAGGAATAAAATAATGGGGGTATATATAAAATATTCATTATGTTTACTCTGAGTCATTGTAAGTTATTGCACTTTTTTGAATTATCATGAAAACATAAATATGATATTCAGTATAGCTTGTACATACAAATGGTGATGGATAATGTTTGTTTAAATATATGGGATAACTTAAACTAGAATGCACAATATTGTAACAACTAAGTAACATACCTGTTCTATAGTTATTATTTACTTTAAAAAAAAAAAAACCTTAAGGAGAGAGAATTAGCATCTTTTAGAAGGCCACACCATCTCCGTGCAAGCCACTCTCTATGCATATGCTCATTTGGACAAGAACCCTCGGAGGTAATTGAGAACAATATTTACTATATATAGGGGAGCCTCCCTGGTGGAGCAAGGAGTTAAGACACAACCTATGAAGCTATCCACAGCCACTGCAGCACAAGATCAATCTCTGGCCAGGAAGCTGACCCACATGGCACAGCAGACCTCTCCTGTCTCACTTGCTATTCCCCTCAGCAGTGTATTTCAGTCAGTCTGCCTGTTCTGTTTCCCACTCTGTCTCTGCTGAATCCTCTCACCCTTCCACACATCTGGCTTGCACCCCAAATCTTGTACGCATAGGTAAATAAATCTTTAAAAAACAATATATATTGGGTACTTCAGTGAGCCAAGAAATGTACTGAGTTTCAACTTTTCAATCCTTACGATGAATATATGGATGTAGTATCATTACTATCTCTTACTTTCCAGATGAGGAAAATGAGTCTTAGATAAATATGTAATTTCATTGTTGGTAGGTGGCTATTCTTGTATTGAATCTTTCACTATCTAATTTGAAAGGTCATGACCTTAATGATAAGCTATTTGAAAACCACAGGTATCTGTGACACCTGCATATTTTCAGAATCTTGAAAATACAGTTGGCCAGATGTTCACAAGTCATCCAGAGTCCAGTAACAAGAAAAAAAGCATCTAAAATTGACAAGTTGCTCTAAATTTTGCTTGATCATTGACCTTTTGAAAGCCAAGCTCAAAGACACCAGTAGTCAAAGGCTATTGTATTGTGGGGAAGGGAAAAGAAATTTCTTCTCACTTCTAGGTCCTTGGTTAAGACAACCCCATTCATAAAAGGCAAATTCATAAAAGAAACTCAAATAGAAGTTCTATAATACACCTGCCTCCTGTACCCTTCAGAGAGTCTCATCAAAACCAAGTAACTCAGTGAATTAGCATAGTCAAATGTGAAATACTATCTTTGGCTAAAGACAAAATAGGATGCATGAGAGGAGAGTGAGAGAAGGGAGTCAGTTATGGAAGGGCATCTGGCAAAGTAGAATAATGTAGGCATGGTTGTTACATGGATACAAGTTGCTTCTTTGCCACTGATAAGCGTTTCAAGTGATTTGGTTATCCTCCACTTCCTTTACAGAGATGAATACACCCTTGCAATTGGAGATTTCATTTATCACTCTATATGTCTCTTACGACAACTTAAATATTCAGCATGCACTTCAAAAGGCAAACCATTTATTTGGGATCAAATATTTGTGACTTGGACAGGGATTTGAGTAGAAAACCTAATACTTGCCCCAAAGAAGGACAAAGTCAGGAACAGCATCATAGCTTGTTCTGGCTTGGGCTATAATGAGCATGCTCATGTGACTTACATTCCACTGTGCATGGAGCTCTCAGCCTCCTCCCTCCAGGATCTAAAGTTGTTCTTCAAATCATGGCACCTCTTGGTCAGAGTGGTGGCCAAATTGTTTGGATAGGACTTTCCACTCCATGATTGAGTCCACCTGTTCAAAAAGGGTTGGGGCAACTCATCCCCCTGGCTTTCAATTTTTATTACCTAGGCTTTCTCAAAATTCTCTCTTTCCTTTCTTTGGTTTGAAAAGGTAATACAGATACTGTTCTACAGAATTCATATTCCTCCTAAAACTTATGAAGTCTTACCAACCAGAGGTGTTTGAAGGAAAGGTCATCCTTTGAAAGAAATAATTATTCCCTTGAAAAAGATATTTTTTTTCAAAATTCTTTATTGCAGAAAAAGCTCATTGAATACTAGTTCCTCTCTAAAGAAATTAAGCTCCTATACCTTACAAATTCAAATGCAATACAGCAGATTCTCAGACATTTTAAGATCCATTAGGTTATCAAGTCTGTCCTTCTGTAGCCTACTTTAAATTCTCTCTGCAAGGTGATTAAAAGTAACATTTAATAACAGGTCAGTTGACAAGTAATTATTTAGCACCCACAGGGTGCAAAGCTCTATATGAAATGCTCAGAACTAAAACCTTTAAAGTTACATAATGGAAAGGGAAACAATAATATCTTTTTTTTTCTGAACATAGAAATAATATTCAGTCCTATTTTCTCCCATATTTTGGGAAGATGGGCTGTCAAAATTTATGCAAAAAGTTAATAATAACTTACATTTTTC